CCAGTCCATGGACTGGGGGTTGTGGAGCCCTGCTTTAAGCAGATGATTACTATAAGGGCACGATGTCTTAGTGGCTAAGACGCTGAGCTTGTCGATCAGAAAGATTGGCAGTTGGGCGGGTCAAATCCCTAGCACCGCATAATGGAGTGAACTCCCATTACTTGTCCCAGCTTCTGCCAACCTAGCAGTTCGAAAACATGTAAAAATGCAAGTAGAGAAATAGGGACCACCTTTAGTGGGAAGGGAACAGGGTTCCGTGCGCCTTTGGCGTTTAGTCATGCCAGCCACATGACCACGGAGACGTCTTCGGACAGTGCTAGCTCTTCGGCTTTGAAACACAGATGAGCACCGCCCCCTAGAGTCAGGAACAACTAGCACAGATGTGCAAGGGGAACCTTTACCTTTACTTTTACTATTACTATAGACAAAATCAAAGCACCTTTGGGACATAAATCTCAGAGAGCACCAAGGATCCCCTGAGCGACAAATATTATCTTCCATTCCATATGTTTCCTTAACGTGGGAGGGTTCCACACCGCCTTTATTCCATAAGGAGCTTGGCTTATGCCCAATTTATGTTAACTGCTGCTGCCGAATTTAGTATTCCGGTGCAGAGGGGCGAAACATCTGGATTGCAACTTCCTGCATTATTAATGAGAAAATGTTTTGTTTTTACAGTTCTGTTGACGCTCTTTGCACCCATATGCCAGCACCACGAAGATGTTGTGCCTGTTGCAGCCGAAGAGATAAGAGAACCTTTGAACTGTTCAACTGATGAAATAAAAAGCAGGGAAAGGAAAACAGCCTGCCGAGGTTGAAATGCTGAAGTTTCAACCCCAACCCCATCGGATATCTCATTTTAAAAATACGCAGTCGGTTTGAATGAATTACTTCAATGGAATCCTATCTTGGTACTCATTCAGGTGGTAGATGGGCGCCCTCACTGAGAGGGCTGTGTGTCTTCTACAGTTATATTATGCAAAGGCAGACATTAACACTGAGCATAGGAGAAGGCCAACAGATTGTGGATTGTTCCCTGCTTTTGTGTGGGGAAATGTAAAATTTTCCATTCTCAAGGCTGCAAAAGATTGGCTTGGCAGTGCATGCATGGGCAATGTCCAGTGAAGTCTCCAAAGCAGAGACCGTTTCTGATGGCCTGAGCACATAGGTTCGGAAGGCCTGGCTCTGTGATCAACCGCTGATTTGAATCACAAAGTGTAAGCTTGTCGAGGCAAATTGAAAGTAACATTTAAAATCAGCAACTGTAACGGCAACGGAGGAAAGAAGGATGGGATGTATGCAGTTCTGACTCTTAATTAGGAGTCAAAAACTGCAAATAGAGGTAGCATCTAGTACAGGGGTGTCAAACTCAAGTCAAACTCAGGGGTGTGTAGATATCTGGCCCATGGGGCAATCCTGGAAACGGGAACCGGCCTGCAGTGCTTCTGCAGCAAAAATGGGCTCCCGAGCTCCGTTTCTGGCTGTGATGGCCTCCGGCATCCCTCGGCCAACAAAAACGGAGCTCGGGAGGGGGCCCCCGCGCTCCATTTTTAATGGCCGGAGGTTGCAAGAGGCTGTCGCAGCCGGAAACAGAGTTCGGGAGCCCATTTTCTCTGGCAGAGCACTTGGCCACCACAGGTGCCCCTGCCATGAGTGACATCAAGC